TAGCAAAATTATATATTGGAATTTTAAATTAAATTTGCATTTTAAAAATCGTTTTGTAATAACATTCTTTTACAAAATGTACTGTTTTATCTTATTTTAACCAAATAATGGCATCTTGGATTCATTCATTCATTTTTAACTATGTTTTAATGTCATATCAGCAGCATTGGCTATACAATCTACACGCTGGTTATTTCAACCAAATTCTGGGTGTAATGAAGTAAACCCCAACTGCTGGATTAATTTTTTTTAAATAAAGACCAAATTTAACCCAGTGTTTGGGTCTGTCCACATTTTAGCCAATTTGGATTTAAATAACCCAGCATTTATTATACTGTAGTTATAGTATAAACACAAAATTAAAACATCTAAAATATTAAGTATTATACGCTTTTTTCCCCAATCACAAATGTTTTCTTTTGTTTGTCTGTTTTAATCAGCGAATTATACAATTTGTATTTTAAATTACATTATAAAACACATTACAACAGAAAAAAATGCTATTTTGTATAATATTCTTTTTTCAGTTTTAAAGCTTTATCTTATTTTAACTAAATAGCACCATCTTGAATTTATTTATTTATGTTTTAATGTCATATCAGTAGCATTGGCTACACAATCCAGGTACAGTATAAACACAAATGTAAAACAGCTCAATTATTCAGTAACATTGCAGTCTTTTTCAATCATAAATGTTTTCTTTTGTGTGTTTTGTTTTAGCAGCAAATAATACATTTGCATTTAAAATTGCACTATAAAACACTTCACAACAGAATTTATTTTTATTTTGTAATAATATATTTTTTTCAAATTTACTATTTTATCTTATTTTTGCATTCTTGTGTTGTTTTCTATTATTCCATAGGCTCCCATTCTAATATGATCCAGGCTCTGTTTGGCTGCTGGTCGCGAAGACGTCTAAAAGGGAACATCCGGCAGGGTTCGGGGAGCTCATTTGTGGTGCGACGGTTGCTGGGAGTGAAGAGCTCCTGGATTTCCCTACCTCTCCGGCCTATTTCCAATCTTTAGTCTTGTACAAACTGTTCATGTATACTTGCAACTTTTTTGAGAGCTTGAGTTTGTAGTTTTTTTGATTACTTTTGTCTTTGTTTATGTTTTTATGGAGGAAAGTACGCTTCCTGTGTTTTCTGTGATGATTTACAGGTAATTTAATTTGTGCATTCTTTTGTGTGTTATTTGAGATGCTCATTTAAACTACAATTTTTCAAGAATAAATCTATTTAATTACTCTTTTGCATAAGTTGTTTCCTTTGTTTGAAAAATCAACCACCCACAACTTTTTTTTTTTATGTCTATGTTATTTCCCCTAGACTTGGGGTGTAATAAATATAAACAAAAATGTAAAACATCTCAATTTTGCAGATTATTTAATCATAAATGTTTTTTGTTTGCTTATTTTTGGCAGCAAATCATACATTTGCATTTTAAGTTAAATTATAAAACACTATTTTGTAATATTCTTTTTCAATTTTACTGTTTTAACAAAATAATGCCATATTGGATTATTTATTAATTAATTAAAAAAAAATTTTTTTATGTTTTAATGTAATTTCAGCAGCATTAGCCATACAATAACTGTGCTGTATAAACACAAATCTAAAACATCTAAATTATTAAATAACATTACAGTTCTTCTTTTGTTTGCTCATTTTAAGCTGGAAATTATCAATTTACATTTTAAATAACATTATAGAACAATTTAATAACAAAATCACTGTTTTGTAACATCCTTTTCAATTTTATTGTTTCATCTTGTTTAAACCAAATAATGACCTCTTTGATTTATTTATGTTTAATGTCATATCAGCAGCATTAGCGATATAATCTAGCTAAAGTATATAAATAAAAAAACTTCTTATCACAACATTAAATTATTAAAAATTGTGAGGCCTCCAGATAGTGTAGTTCCAGCATCCACCAGCAGGGGGTCTAACCGAACCACTCTCACCTAATACTGACCTTATGAAGAAAAGACAAGAGCCAATTCAAACCGTCCTGGGTCTCCGTAATTACTTCCAAACCTCCCGCCTGTCCGGCATCACCTGTCTTTCCTGTTGTTAATTGTCATTTCCTCGCAGCAAGGACACGGAACCCTAAGCCTGGCCCTGAAAGAGCGTTTAGCTGACTCTGAATGTCAGCGGCCATATGAAAAAGCTGTTATTACAAGACATTTGTGGGACCGAGACATGACCTTTACACACACTGTAGCGCTGTTTGATGAGATCAAAACGAGCGTGTGATCATTAATATCTGAGGAATGGCTTCTGCCGGCAGCCCAATACTCTACTGTAGTCTTTACGAGCTGCTGTGCTGCTCTTTAATGACCCTTCATGTCACGCTGAGAATCTGAATACTTTGATGCTGGAGCTCAGATTCTCTTCTCGCTGCTTTCTGCTGTGATTTAATGTGCTGTGCTAAATTTTTATAGATTGTGTTTTTGAAAAATCGGTGGAATTTAGACTGTCGTTGCAGTGTGGTTATTAATGATGTCGTGATTCATATTTTAATGATTCAGATTTTTGAAGAGAATGATTTATTTACCCTCGTGTCGTTTCTTCGTTTGTGTTAAACTGAATGAAAGTCAAACAGGCCAGATTTCCTCGGTTCCTTTCTTCGTTCTTCCCTTTATTTATTCACGCATTCATTTGTATGTTTGTTCATATTTTTGTTCCTTTTTTCATTGGGTTCTTTGTTCACTTGTTTTATTCATTTGTTTGTTCGTTCCTTCGTTTGTTCATCCTTTCCTTTGTTTAGTCCTTCTTTGAATCCATCCTTTAATCATTCGTTACCTCATTCATTCTTTCGTTTGTTCGTTCATATTTTTGCTCCTTCCTTCAATAGGTCCTTTGGTCAATCATTCGTTTGTTTGTTTTTTCCTTTCTTCCTTCGTATGTTCAGTCCTTCCTTGAATCCTTTTTTCATTCATTTGTTTGTTCCTTCATTTGTTCGCTTATTCATTTGTTCACTCACACATATTTTTGTTCCTTCCTTAATTGGGTCTCATTCCTTCCTTAGTTTGTTCAGTCATTCCTTGAATCCTTCATTAGTTCGGTCCTTCTTTCCTTACTCCGGTCCTTCCTTCGTTCGGCCCTTCCTTCCTTCCTTACATTCTTCATTCATTCCACTTAGTGAGGCTGTTTGGTGATTTTAGTCATACAGTCAATATCCTTCATTTTCTCATCAGTGACATGCAGTCTATAAAATGTCTCTGGGTCATTGCGTGTAAAGATTTTGGACATCTTTACCCATTTTGGGTTTGCTGCATTTATAAAGCACCCATGTCTTGGGGTTGTTCAGTAAGATGCGATTTACTTTTTTATGTGCGATTTGATTGAACAGAAATCGCAGGACTGATTGTTCTACATTAGCTAATCATATTAAACAAGAAATAAATAAAGTAGTGACTGCAGGTTAAAAGAAAATAGTGGAGTAAAACTACATAGCAAATTACAATTCCTAAGAAAAACTATTAAACTACAGTAATTTGAGTATTTGTAATTTGTTTCTTTTATTATTAAACAAACTAAGTATTCAGCAAAATCAAAATCTATTCAGCAACTAGGCCAGTACCGTTCTCTACAGAATGTGCTTTTCATTCTTAAATCTGCCGTCAAGTGAGATGCTACTGTACTACTAGCCTTTAAACAGAAAATGACCTTATTATGGAAGATCCGATAGCAAACATTTCTTGTGGAGACTCATTGAAGCATCTATTACACGCTGTGTAAGCGGACACAGCACTAACCGTAGAACACTTAGTGGTTCCTTCTTCCCAGAACACACAAATATTACTGTCTATTTTCCCCTCGCCTCACATATTCGATGTTAACTGTCCCTGCTGAAAGATTCCCCCAATGCTACAAAATCTATTTAAGACAACTACTTCTTGCTTGGATGTTCTCAGTGAAGCAGCATGTGAGATTGATAAAAACTTTAAGCCTGCAGAGTTTCCCTTCAAAATAAAATAAAAAAATATACTCGCCATGTTGTTCAAAATCAATGTGTTTTTTTTATATAAGTAAGATAAGAAAAGAAACCTCATCATTTTAACAAGGGATAGGAGCTTTTAAGGGCATAGGTTCAACCAAAAATGAAAAATTGGCCAATGTTTACTCACCCTAAACTTCAGTATTTTGCTCTCATACAAAAAAGAAGATATTTTGAAGAATGTTGGAAACCTGCCACCACTGACATACATAGTAGGAAAAACAAATACTATGGAAGTCAACAGCCCCTTTCACACAGAGATACCAGTAAACATCCGAAAAATGACAGGGATGAAAAATTACTGTGAGATTGTGCGCTGCTATTCTCAAATGATTAAATTATTTCCACAAGACTCTCTCCTACAGTACAGATAGACAGCATAAGCTTTAAATGAAGAATGAATGCCTCACAGAAATACAGTAATTCTTATGTTTTTCTTAACAATTGTCCCATCAAAAATACACTTGTATGTATATATTTTTTTAAAGCAAAAGCATTAATGTTTAGCCTAAATTAACATATGAGTTTACATATGCACAATGCAACTTAAAAAAGACTTAAGATAGCCTTCTACTTTGTTTTTAGCCTATTTGGAGCATGACAGCCTTTTATTTCTGCCATTTCTGTCCTGAAACACACTTCATAACTCCATTGAGCAGATACAATAAAGTCTGCATGAAATCAAAGTATATGTTTGTTTTACTAAAGCATATTGTTAGTCTTTATATGACTGTCAGCTCTAAAATGACAGAGCTTCTCTGATGATGTCAGTTTGACGGCTTGAGTAAAGTCTGTTTAGCCACACCCTTCAATCATTTCACTGCAGGTGAAAATAAGAGGAGCTCAAAAATACCCCCCCGCTTCTAAATATTCTTTGAGTTGGAACTGTGTCATACTGAAACGAAAGCTTCAGTAACTTCCGGTTCATGGTTCAACCACATTGTGTGCAACACAGAACTTAATTGAAATAATAATAATATTATTAATCTCACATGAAATCCTCCTTCTTCTTTGTACTGTAGGAAGGCGTTGGTGGTTCCCTTCTTGGCCAAGCGAATTCTGGCAAGTCGAACTTTCTGTAAAACAGAAGAGAATTATCTGAATCGATCGTGTCAGCACTTGCTTCACATACAACTTCAACAACTCGGAGCAGTAATAATGCCAATGAGGCTGTTTAGTTACATCATGAGGTAGTTTCATGCTGTTTTGGATCTTTTGGCTACTTTTTGCAAAACCAGATTCAAACACACACTCATTACATGATAACCATAGGTTTATGCTGAAGGATTCGGATTTCTGCTTTCCAATCCATCTCATCATGGACCAACGTTTATCCTTTTCATCCTCCTGTTTCTTAGTATTTAACTGTGAATTGATTTTAATTAATGAATAAGTTAACACATTGCTTAATATAAGAATGTTCAGTGCATTTGCCAGTCTCTTTATACCTATTTTCAGGAGCCAGCAAACTAGGTCAGAGGTCATGGAGATCTTGAGTGGAACTGAGGACTGGAAACAACTGTTTCTATTGTTATTTCTAGGTGTTAATACTGTCTAAAATGTCTAAAGTGATTTTGCTATAGTTTTACGGTTAAATTTTTTTATAGATAGACTTTGTGTAGTAAGAATATAACTGCCTGAATGTAGATTATACCAGTCTTTAACCAGTTTTGATAAAGACGGCTGACGGTACACTCAGCCTTGGATAAGAAACAGATTATACTTAAAGTGTGTGTGTTCTATTTGATTGTTGATCCGTTTCACAGGTCTGGAGTCAGCTCTAATCAGTCTAAAGGGTGTCTGACGTTTATGTTTAGATATTGTTCAGAATTGTACGCACGAACCTCACGTGGAAATGTTCCTAGTCTATCTGTGTTTTAACCAATCAGGTTAGAACACCTTTATGTATGACGCAGTTAATGACGTTATGTGAGAGTATAATTGTTATTGATTGGTGATTGTAAGCAGAGCGGCCTAGGAACTCATTGTGAGTGTTGAAGCTGGCTTCTGCGGATGAAACTGCAAATTATCTTCAGTAAACTTGATTTATTTATTTAAATCTCTGACTCCGGCTCTTCTTCATCTACCAGACTGGTCATTCTTTGGGTTAAACTGTAAACTATCCCTTTGCTGTGAAGCTCTAAATTGAGCTCAGATACATTCTGTTTCCACTAATCATTCTTGAGATGTATCAGCAGCTTAATTGGAGTTCACCTGTGGTCAATTCAGTTGACTGGACATGATTTGAAAAGGCATACACCTGTCTATATAAGGTCCCTGGGTTGACAGTGCATGTCAAAATACAAACCAAGCATGAAGACAAAGGAATTGTCTGTAGACCTAAGACAGGATTGTCTTGAGCAACAAGGCTGGGGAAGGTTACAGAAAAATGTCTGCTGCTCTGAATGTTCCAATGAGCCCAGTGGACTCCATCATTCGTAAGTGGAAGATGTTTGGAACCACCAGGACTCCTAGTTAAAATTAGGCCTCGTTTACAGTAATACCTTTTAGTTTTAAATAGGCGTTTTAGAATGAAAACAATCTACATCCACACTGCCGTTCACCTGGTGTTTCTAAACAGATCTCCATCCCCTGTATACCGCTGAAACCGCAGATCACGTGACCACACACACTCTCTGGCATGCACTGCAGCGTATGCATGCATCTGAGCTCCAGGCAGTCAGCGGGTGCTTTGAGCACGGATCTAACACTGGATCTAATCTCACTTTACAATTGAAACCAGAAGTTTACATACACTGTATAAAAAGGTACATAACCATTAAAAAAAAAAAAACCAAATGTTAATGTGACTAAACTTTTTCTCTTTTAGGTAAATTTGGATTATCAATTTAGTTTCTGTTATGCTTAATAGCAGAATAATGAGAGAGATATTTTTTGAGAAATTGTTATAACTTTTCTTGAAAGTGAAGTTTACATACAGTACAATAAGATTATTATGCCACTGAAAAACCTCAGCTGAAGGTGTCAAGGTTTTGGAAGTTTCTAATTGGCTCATTGACAACACTTTAGTTAACTGGAGACACAACTGTAGAATAGTATATAAGAAAAACCTCAAACACACTGCTTCCTTGTGTGACAACATGGAAAAAATCAACAAGCCAGAATCAACAAAAAAAACAAAAAACAGATTACACTTTGCTAAATTACACTGGGAAAAAGAATACATTTTGGAGACATGTCCTGTGGTCTGATGGAACTAAGATCGAACTGTTTGGCCATAATGACCAGTGTTACATTTGGAGGACAAAGGGGAAAGCTTACGAGCCAAGGAACACCATCCCAACTGTGTATGGGGTGGCAGCATCATGTTGTGGGGCTGTTTTGCTGCATGAGGGACTGGTCCACTTCACAGCATACAGTAGATGGCATCATAAAGAAAAAACATTATGTAGAAATACTGAAGCAACATCTCAAGACATCAGCCAGGAAATTAAAACTTCGCCACAAATGGGTCTTCCAGACAGACCATGACCCTAAGCATACTGCCACATTAGTTAAAATGTGCTTTAAGGACAACAGAGTGAATGTTTTGGAGTGGCCATCACAAAGCCCTGAACTCAATTGTGGGCAGAGTTGACAAAGCTTTTGGAAGCAAGACAGCCAATAAATCTGACTAAGTTAAACCAGTTCTGTCAGGAGGAATGGGTCAAAATTCCTTCAAACTATTGTAAGAAGCTTGTGGATGGATCCCCAAAACATTTCACCAAAGTTTTACAGTTTAAAAGCAAGGTTAAAAAATACCAAGGTAACGTAAGTAAACTTTTGACTGTCTAGAAATTAATAAAAAATAAAAAATAAAAATAATTCTCATTATTCTGGCATTTAGCAAATGTAAATCATTTAGGTAATCCTAACAGACCTAAAATCAAACGCAAAAGCAAACGTTTAATATGATGTACAATCAGACATTTTTTTTTAAATGTTTCTTTTTTTTTAGAGTGTATGTAAACTTCTGGTTTCAACTGTATTTGTTAGACATGATATTTTATTAATCTAACAACATATTTCCAGACTTTGTTCTTTTAAATCTATTACTTGTTTTCAGGTAACATGTTTTGGCTGAGCGCAAAGATAAATTTATATTTTAATTAATGCAACCACGTAACCTACACTGATTCTGCACATTTGATTGATTGCTTGGATTTATTTCCTATAATGTATAAACTTATTGTGCATTCTACTTTTATAATGGCCATGCTTGATTATTAAAACTGATTTTCAGCAACAAAAAAAGGGTATGTTTTGTATTTTTAATGAGAATGAAAGGAGGCGGTAATGTTATAGGCTCAGTTTTGTTATAAATATGCATACAGTGAAGATGACAGTCTTATAAATATATAGCTACACAATGCCTCATTTTTTGTGTCTGTTAAGTTGCTAATATCAAATTGAAAATAGGCAGTTCCTTATAGCAAGTTTTCATTTTATTGTTAAGAAAGTGAAACAGCAAAGCCAGTGTGATGTGAATGAGGTTATAAAGTACACTGTTCCCTTTGAAGATTCACCCGACGTGTCCTCAGGAGTCTCTTTTCCATATCAAACTTGAGAAGTCTGAACTTACAAGGAGAGTATGCAAGATTGAACTGTGTAGGGTACTTAATACTGAGGCCCCAATCAGCTAGGCGAATGTCTACATACATGCCTCCGTTTTCAGGCGTCTCCGTTTTCCCCAATCCACTCTAACACAGAGCAGCAGCGCATTAAAATGAAAATGGCCTCGTAATATTTTTCAAAGAGCTCCTTTTCAGCGCTCAAAAAACTGGGGTAGTGTGGACGGATGGCGTAACGGCAGCAAAACTTATGCACTTTAAAACTAAAACGTATTAGTGTAGAAAGGGCTTAGACTTAAAGCTTCGAGTTAGAATTGCGTAAATCTAACCAGACCTGACAAATGTGAATAGACCCTTAGTAAAACACAAGTTCTCTCAAATAAGTAAGAAATAGCAAGCAGATGAACAAGTTCTCAAAACAAAACAAAAAAACAAAAAAACGAGGCAATAGAGAAGAAAAGGGTTCTTTGATACCTGCTGGGCTCGCATCTTGTCCGCTCTTTGATTCTGATGGTAGATTCGGCTGAAGTTGGACACGATGACGGGAACAGGAAGAGCAATAACCAGCACACCGCTGAGAGAGCAGATAGAGCCAAAGATCTTTCCAGCGATGGTGTTTGGCACCATGTCTCCATAC